AGGATGTCCACTGTTTCCACTCCTCTTCAACCTAGTATTAGAATGCTTAGATCATGGGTCTCAAGCAAGAAAGCTCAGGGATAGTGCCCATGTCTTGCAGCTGTGCACAGATCCTGAGGATTTGCATGTGCCCCCACACAGCTAACTGCCTGAACCCTTCTTCATGGTCTGCTCACCCCTGTGCATCAGTCAGTCCCAGTCAGCACACAGGATGAGGGAGCCCCTGGGTTCAGTTCAGGGGATCCTGCTGCTCTGACCCAAAGATAAAGAAGGAGAAAACTAGGAATTTATTGAGCCCAGGGTTAACAGATTCCTCACTCTTCATGGAAACTCCGAGAACATAATTGATTCTGTGGATATTTGGTGTCTCTTTTCAATATCAGGTGCCAGATGTGACATCTCCATTTCCCAGTGTCATCCTCTCTGTGTGCATCTGTAGGAGACAGTCTCTATCACTTGCAAATCCAATCAGGGATTAGTGATGATTCACAGTGGCATCACTAGAAACAAGGTGATGCTCCTAAACTCTTGATTTATTGGGCATCCAATTTACAGTCTGGGGTGACATCCAGATTCAGTGGCAATGGATGGGGAAGAGAGTCTACTTTCACTATCAGCAGCCTGCAGTCTAAATATATTGCAACTTACTGCTGTCAACTGAGTAATAAATAGTTCAACTCCCACAGTGATGCAAGACCAAATATAAACCTCCTCGGTGGGGGGAGCAAATTTGAGATGCTGGATTGCCCCAGCTACTTCTCCTGTTGCCTCTGCCTGCTGACAGTGCATCTCAGCCACAGCCAGGCTCTGAAGGTCACTGAGGGATTTGGTAGAGGGGGTCATTGACAACCCTCTCAATCTTGTCTGTCTGTCTTCCATCAGCCTCAGGAGCACCAACCAGATAATGCTTCTGGTGTCTTATAAAAAAACAGAGATTTGTCCTTCTGAGCCTCTGAAATACGGCATCCAGGTGGATATAATCTGCAGTTTGTCACACAAGAGACCTTTGCCTGCCTTGTGCTCCCTTTACACTGCTGCACCCACCTGCTAATTTGCATAATGCTCCTTAAGGAGGACTTTCCCTTTTGAGTCTGAGATGAAGGCTCAGCTTGCCCTTGTCTTGTCCTATCAGGACTCTTAAAAGAGAATTCTTTTAGTAAGCTCCTGGGCTGCTAATGCTCTGGCTCACTGGTAAGGACAGAGGGAGATGAACAATAAAATCATGTAAATTGTACAGAAATGAAAGGAACTAGATCATCATATTGAGTGACATAGGTCAGGATGCAAAAACAAAATAGTGTTCGGTTGTACTCACTTGTGGAACCCAGACTTAAATGATGGTAGTGATGATGGTGGTGATGGTGATGACGGCATTTATAATAATAATAATATAATATGACATGAATTCCAAAATGGGAAATATCTGAAGGGAGACAGGTAAGGGTGAAAGAAAGGGACAAAAACACACTAAGTACAGAAGATCAATTGGTATATAAATAAATATATATACATATATATACTCACATGTGCATTTGAGTTATGAAGTTCCTTTACACAGTATGAAAAATGGTGGGAGTGGGAGAGGAAGAGTACAGCAATAGAAACGAGGTGGTGATTTTTTCAAAATAAGCTGCATTCAGGTAGGGATTCTCATCACATACTAACCTCGTGTTGTTAATATATGACAATTATAATTTATCCAACAATAAAATAAGTAAAATGCCATGGTTATGCATATAAAACTACTGGGATCTGCACAACTATTAACAAAGAATGGTAAAACTCCAAATGAAAATCTTGTCAGCTGCTATGTCATAAAAAGGCCACTAGATGGCAAACAAATCTCACAAAGAAAAACCTCAAACCTAACCTTGTCAATAGGGGCTTGAAGCCAGGGAGTTCATCTCAGGCTTTCATGGCACACATGGCATGTAGGACCATGTTTACAGAGGGCATTGTGTCTCCACATGTCCACTTTGTAAACTGTAATCAAACCTGACAAGGATGACACACAAGTTTCTTCTAGTGAAGTCATTAAGGGCAGGTCAGTAAGGTGAGGGAAGGAGGGTGGACCCTGCAGATATGCAGCCCTGAAGGGACCATGTGCACACACCCTGTCCAGCTGTGGGAGGTGAGAGGGGGCTGCAGTGTCAGCACTTTCCCCAGCAGTTCCCAAGAGTCCTCTGCAGTTATCAGGCCACTGATTGTCCTTAAAGGCACAGATGGTGTCCTGGTGTCAGACTAGAAATATAACTGCTCATTGTTCCTAGCATTCTTTTTCAGTGTCAGAATTTTAAAATGCTGAGTTATAATTAGAATTATATTAATTATTTTTTAGTTTAATAGATAATTTGCTATATATAAACAATAGAAATATGAATTCTACATTCATTTGTGAAGTGCTCCTCTCTGTTCTGAGAGGAATAGACTTTTTCCTTAGAGCCAGTCCTCACTCAGGTTCATGGCCCAGACATTAACACCTTTCTTTCCTGTATGCTCTTTCTTCTTCCAGGAAGATCCTCAGAAATGTTTTCTTATGTCTTCCTTGGTCTTCATCTCTTTCCTTAGTTTTCAGCCTCTTCTCTCAGCCAGGTGGCTACATTCCTCACACTCCAGGGCACTGTAAGCCTACCTGCAGCTTGTATATGAGGTTAGTATTCCAAGTCTTCCATGTATTTCAGAACCTGAAGTCTGTGCAGATTTGAAATTCACAAGTCCCAAGCCACATGTCCACACATGCTGATTGCAGCCCTGGAGTGTGTATCTAGAGAATGTAATGTGTAATTCCCAGAGCCTGGCTGATTTTAACCACACTCAAATAGATACTCTTGGGGTCTCTCTTCCTCATCCTATTATTATGGACCCTTGAATTTACCAGATGGCCTTTAAAATATAGCAGCCAGCAGCCTTCTCCTGGTTTTATTTAGTACCAGCTTTGTCCTACAGTGCATGTAAGAGACAACAGATCCCGCTCAGTAAGGGCAGTAGGAGTTCTTCATGGGACCATGAGATAATGCTAGAAGTGATATTTCAGAACAGTGAAGGAGGTAGGCATAACTTTTAGGGAAGCTTCTAAATCATCATCAAAATCGGGAAAAGGAGCAACGTAGAAGAATTATGTGAGCATGTGGTTCAGAGAACATTAATTTTTTAATAGATGGAGGTCAGCAAATCAAGACTCAGATGGAGTTCTGGTAGTAAATGGTACTGAAGAAAACACTGATTGGGTAATGAGTTACTCATGGTCTATTGGCTTTTAAAGAGCAGTGTTAACTTTGTCCACCATCTTCTTGGACTTCCAGTGGTAAGTTCCATGTGATCACCTTGTTCATCTAACTCCGGTATGACAATCTACACAATGGGATGAAGTATGTTCACATGCTAATCTCTATGCGGGGACCTTCTTCACTTCACTTTGACTTCACTCTCTGTGATTCCCCAGGTTGAAGATGTTCTTTGCAAACTGGGTGGCTCTAGTTAATCAACCTCACCCTTGACCACATTGCAATTTATCATTTCTGTACCTATATGAATCACATCTCCTAAATACAACTTGTGAAAACTGCTTTATTGGTGGTCATGCTTATGATACTAGCTACAGAGGAGGCTGAGATATCATGATTAGGGTTGGAAGTTACCTTGGACATAAAAGACTGTGAGTCTCTGTCACCAGTTAAACACCAAAAGATTGGAAGTGAAGCTGTGACTCATTTGGCACACTACCAGCCTTGAGCACAAAAGCTCAGGGACTAAGTCAAGCCCCAGGACTAGTACACAAAATACTCCTTGACTTAGGACCTAAAAGACATGTAACTTGAAGGACTATGCAGCTTAAGGAGCATAATGAAGTTAAAATAGAGTTGAGTCCTCGGTCTGGAGAACAACTTAGCTTCTGAGAAAGAAGAGTTTCCATTAATAGATGAAACAAATGTCCTCTAAAAGTTCAGAAATATCTGGCACATACATGCATAATATGGTTCCAGGTATTTTCCTAAAACTAAAGAAGAAGTACCTGAGATGACCTGTTCTAGAGGGAGGCGATAGGGAAGAACATTCAGAAGGGAAGCAATCCAGTCATGTATATGAGTTCACAGTACACCAATGAATGCACCAACGGATTGTCCATATACCTCTGATCATGACAATTTGTTGCACATGTATTTTTCAGTGCTACCTTCCATTAAAAACTTTGAAAACTGTCCACTTCTCTCTAACAATGCATCTATCTGTCTTTCTACCTACACATGTATTATCACTTTTATAGCACACATGTCTGGGTAATAACGATCATTATTAAACCATAAAACAAGGTTCAGGCAAACAACCTGAATACGCTTAAGAATTCTGTGTCACAAACTCTACTGATACCAGAGTTAGGGGCATTCTAAAATTAATTTCTCTTGAAAATGTTTGTCTTTGAGTGACTGATTGTAGTGAAGGAAATACGAACCAAGTCATGTTTAAGTTGAAAATGTTAAAAATTCTATTTGGGGTTGGGAATTGAGCTCAGAGGAAGAGTGCTTACCTGGAAAGTGCAAGGCTCTCAGTTCAGTCTTCAGATCTGGGGGAAAAAATCTATTCTTATCACAGGCCAACAGAATCATAATGTTTTCTTGTCTCTTAAAACACATTATCCACACTTTGGACATCTGGGTTCTTCAGGTCTGTGCTTTGTCACTGAGACCTGCCAGCTGAAGCTCTGACTCGCACTCCACAAACCATGTTGATTTGCATGTGCCCAGAGCACAGCCCACTGCACTGGGAACTTCTTCATAGGCTGCTCACACTCTGTGCAGGAGAAGTTCCAGTCAGCACACAGCATGGACATGAGGGCCCTTGCTCACCCTCCTGGGGCTTCTGCTGCTCTGGGTTGCAGGTAAGGAAAGATGATACTGGGGATTATTCACCCAGTGTTCAGCTGAGCTACTTGGCTGTTCATGGAAGTACTTGGACAGCAGAATTAATTAAACTGCTAATGGCTTTTATGTTTCCAATGTCAGGTGCCAGATGTGACATCCAGTTGACCCAGCCACCATCCCTGTCATCATCACAGGGAGACAGAGTCACCATCACTTGCCGAGCCAGTCAGGGCATTAGCAAGAGTTTACCTTGGTACCAGCAGATAGCAGGGAAAGCTCCAAAGCTCCTGATCAGTTATGCAACTCCTTTGCAATCTGGGTTCCCACCAAGGTTCAGTGGCAGTGGATCTGGGACAGAGTTCACTCTTGCCATCAGCAACCTGCAGCCTGAAGATGCTGCAACATATTTCTGTCAACAGAGGGATAGTTTACCTCCCACAGTGACATAAGTCATAACAAAAATCTCCCAGAGAAGCAGAAGTGAGAGGCTGGGCTGTCACAGCTTCTCTTCTACATGCACAACTGCCTCTACTCCACCAACTTCTCAGACAGACACAAACCTTAAAGTTACTGGAAAGTATTGGGAGAGAGGTCATGGAGGCATTTGCACACCCTAACTCTCTGTCTTCCTGTGCATCCCAAGCAGCACACACTTAAGAATGCCTCTTCTGACTTTAAGAATCACTGATCTATACTCATGTTTCACTTACATTGTGCTAACAATTTGTAGCCACAAAAAGAAAGAGCCATTTTAGGTATATCAAACCAGGTTTAAAAAGCAAGGCAATAGAGCTTTAGAAAAGATTTTGTTTTTAGATTTAAAAAAAATCATCATTAAGTATTGAAACATAAAGCAGATATTTTTATTAAAGTGGAAAATTTCTAGTTCATTGAGTAACACATCCATTAGTTATTAGATCTATATCTATATATACAGATATATATGTGTTATGTGTGTATAAATGCATATATATATATATATATATATAACAGCCAGTAGCAATACATATAATAGCAAGTTTACCCAATCCCTGTTACAGCCATGGTCTCATTTGAACGTATTTTATTCAGCTGCTAAGGGCTCTGAGGATACAGAGCAGAGCATATCTTCTGAGATCCGACTCAGCTGAGCCTACAGCCCACAAAGCTCTCCCCTTGCAGGCTTTTGTTGGTTGCTCTACTTAAGAAACATTTTTTTGTTTTGTTTTGTCTTGTTTTTGGTTGGTCCTGGGGCTTGAACTCTGGTCCTGGGTGCTGTCCCTCAGCTCTTCAGCTCAAGGCAAGCACTCTACCACTTGAGCAACAATGCAACTTCCAGTTTTTTTTTTTTTGAATGGTAAGTGGGGACTGTCTGCAGTTTTATTCACATATCTCGTTTTCAAAACTTGGTATAGAGGGGTTACAGTTACATAAGTCAGATAATGAGTACATTTCTGTTTTAAGACTGTCACCCCCTCCCTCATTTTCTCCAAGGATTTTCATTCTCTGTCCCACCCGCAAGATGTATAGTTCATTTTTTTTTATTTTATTTTATTTTATTTGTGAACAAACTGTACAGAGGGGTTGCAATTGCATGGGCAGGATAATGCGTACATTTCTTACCAAGCATTGCAGCCTCCTCCTTTGTTTACCCTTCCCATCCCTTCCCAG